CCCAGTCGGGGCCCAGGGCGTCGCTAGCGCTGCAGTCAAGCATTGCTGCTGCTGCTTCTGCTGCTGCTGCTGATGCTTCGGCTGCTGCTGCTGCTGCTGTGCTTGCTGTATCACCTCCTTGGGCATCCACCCCTGCAGCAGAAGCAGCTGCTGCTGCTGCAGCTGCTGCTGCTGCCTGCGTAGGGGGCACGCATGCTGCGGTGATGAAGGTTTGGTTTGTTTGCTGCTGCACGCAGCAGCAGCGGATGAGTTGCTGCTGCAGCTGCTGCTCTTCGAGAACAAATTCAGAGGCAAAGGGCCTCCGTTGTTGCTGCTGCTGCTGTTGCTGCTGCTGCTGCTGCTGCTGCTGCTGCTCTGATATGTGTAGGCGAACGAATCCAGGTGTATAGATAGCCACCTGCAGCAGCAGCAGCAAGCCGTCGTTGTGGCGGCGGACGGTCATAGAGAAGGTCCACTCTTGCAGCAGCTGCTGCTGCTCTTGCTGCAGCACATGTTGCTGTTGCTGCTGCTGCTGCAGCAGCAGCAGCTGCTGCTGCTGCTGCTGCGGGATATGGAGACGGAACGACTCTGGGATCGCTCTATACAGCGCAGGGAAGGGTCTCGCAGGCTGCTGCTGCTGCAGCAGCAGCAGCTGCTGCTGCTGCTGCTGCTGTTGGCCGTTGAGTTGCTGCTTTTGTTGCAGTTGTCGTGTTCTGTGCTGCTGCTGCAGCAGCAGCAGCAGCTGCGCATACAGCTGATACCGATAACAGAAGGGCGCTTGTGCTGCGCTGCTGATGAAGACGGGTGGTTTCTGCTTCTCTTCTCCCATTTGCATCAATAAAAAACAAAAAAATAAAAAAATATATAAATAAATATTTTAAATAAAGCTGCATATACACCCCAAACAACCACCAACACGCAGAAGACAAGCAGCAGCAACTCGCCCCGTCGGCAGCGCCCGGGGGGCCCCACAGAACCAGCAGCAGCAGCAGCAGCAGCAGCAGCAGCAACAGCAGCAGCAGCAACAGCAGCTGCTGGAAACCGCTCCAGTCAAAATATAATAAATTGATAGTCTAGCGTTTTGGCTCAGGGTTTAGGGTTTAGGGTTTAGGGCTTAGGGTTTAGGGTTTAGGGTTCAGGGTTTAGGGTTTAGGGTCTCAAGCAGCGGGAGAGCGCCGCCGGGGACGAGGCCAGGACAGATCTACACAGCAGCAGCAGCAGCAGCAGCAACAGCAGCAGCAGCAACAGCAGCAGCAGCAGCAGCAGCAGCGGTAGCACTGAAAGGATCAGCAGCAGTAGCAGGAGCAGCAGGAAAAATAACAACGGCTGCGGCAGCAGCAGCAGCAGCAGCAGCTGCAGCAGCAGCAGCAGGCTCCAGACACACAGCAGCACACGGGCAGCAGCAAGATGCAAGCGTAGCCTATCCGCCGCTGCACCAGCAGCCGCAACAGCAACCACAACAACCCCAGCAGCAGCAGCAGCAGCAGCAGCAGCAACAGCAGCAGCAGCAGCAGCAGCAGCAGCAGCATGCAGCCCTCTCAGTGCAGCAGCGTCAGCGCTGAGGCCGTAGAATTTGATTTGCGGGACTGCGGCCTTTTTGCTTCTCTCCTCGCATTCACTCTACCCTCAACCTGTACACACACACACTGCAGCAGCAGCAGCAGCAGCAGCAGCAGCAGCGGCAGCAACAGCAGCAGCAGCAGCAGCGGCAGCAGCAGCAGCAGCAGCAGCAGCGGCAGCAGCAGCGGCAGCAGCGGCTGGTGGTGCTGCTGCTGTTGTTGTTGGTGCTGCCGCTGTTGGTGCTGCTGCAGCTCTTGTTGCTGCTGCCGCCCTTGTTGCTGCTGCTGCTGCTGCTGCTCTTGCTGCTGCTGCTGCTGCTCTTGCTGCTGCTGCTGCTGCTCTTGCTGCTGCTGCTGCTCTCATTGTTCTGGCGTTGCCGCAGCCAGCCTGTTGGTTGTTGCTGCTGCTGTTTTCTCTTTGTTTCTATTTGCTGCTGCTAGTGCTGCATCTGTTTCCTTGATTTGCTGCTGCTGCTGCTGTTGCTGCTGTTGGTTTCTCTGTGCGCAGCACCCGGGGGCGACGGTGGTGGTGGTGGCCGCAGCAGCAGCAGCAGCAGCAGCAGCAGCAGCAGCAGCAGTAGCGAAGAAGTAGCTGACTGGCAGTGTCTGCGGGTCACCTTTGGGCCCAAGGGTTTGCTGCTGCGGGGTGTATCGAGAGGTCGTGAGGTGTATGGGGAGCTGCTGCTGCCTGTCTCTTTCTTTCAGGGGTTTGAATACCAGCAGCAGCAGCAGCAGCAGCAGCAGCAGCAGCAGCAGCAGCAGCAGCAGGAGGAAGAAGGAGAGTCTGTATTGGTGCCCCTCAAGTCCTTTGTCAATGCTCTGCTGCTCTTTGGAGAATCGGTATCTCGCTGCTGTTGCTGCTGCTGCTGCTGTTGCTGCTGCTGCTGCTGTTGCTGCTGCTGCTGCTGTTGCTGC